CCGTTTAACCCCTTGATCGCGCCCCCCCCCCCCTCCAGTTAACCCCTTCGCTGCCCTGTCACCCAGTGTCACTGATCAGTGAACCAATTTTTACTGATCACTGTATCAGTGTCGCTGGCGACTTCCGATAGAGTTAGCGCCCCTCCCAGATAGCGCCAGTTTGCCCGCCAGTACAACAGTAATCCCGTTTAACCCCTTGATCGCCCCCCCCCCCTCCAGTTAACCCCTTCACTGCCCTGTCACCCAGTGTCACTGATCAGTGAACCAATTTTTACTGATCACTGTATCAGTGTTGCTGGCGACTTCCGGTTAGAGTTAGCGTCCCTCCCAGATAGCGCCAGATTGCCCGCCAGTACACCAGTAATCCCGTTTAACCCCTTGATCGCCCCCCCCCCCTCCAGTTGTTTATAGCGCATGACCACGCAATTATCATTTGAGTTAGTGCAGCGCTGTATAGCAAAAAAAAGCATAAATTACGGTATCTATACCATAGTTTGTAGACGCTATAACTTTCACACAAAGCAATCAATATACACTTATTGGGATTTTTTTTTACCAAAAACATGTAGCAGAATACATTTTGGCTTAAATTTATGACTAACTTTGAGTTTACGATATATTTTTTATAGCTGAAAGTAGAAAATATTGTTTTTTTTTTCAAAATTTTTGTGTTTTTTTTTGTTTATAGCGCAAAAAATAAAAAGCGCACAGGTGATCAAATACCACCAAAAGAAAGCTCTATTTGTGTGAAAAAAAGGACGTAATTTTCGTTTGGATGCAGCATTGCATGACCGCGCAATTATCATTTGAGTTAGTGCAGCGCTGTATAGCAAAGAAAGGCATAAATTACAGTATCTATACCATAGTTTGTAGATGCTATAACTTTCACACAAAGCAATCAATATACACTTATTGGGATTTTTTTTACCAAAAACATGTAGCAGAATACATTTTGGCTTAAATTTATGACTAACTTTGAGTTTACGATATATTTTTTATAGCTGAAAGTAGAAAAATTTTTTTTTTTCAAAATTTTCGTGGTTTTTTTGTTTTATAGCGCAAAAAATAAAAAGCGCACAGGTGATCAAATACCACCAAAAGAAAGCTCTATTTGTGTGAAAAAAAGGACGTATTTCGTTTGGGTACAGCATTGCATGACCGTGCAATTATCATTTGAATTAGTGCAGCGCTGTATAGCAAAAAAAGGCATAAATTACAGCATCTATACGATAGTTTGTAGACGCTATAACTTTCACACAAAGCAATCAATATACACTTATTGGGATTTTTTTTACCAAAAACATGTAGCAGAATACATTTTGGCTTAAATTTATGACTAACTTTGAGTTTACGATATATTTTTTTATAGCTGAAAGTAGAAAATATTGTTTTTTTTCAAAATTTTCGTGGTTTTTTTGTTTATAGCGCAAAAAATAAAAAGCGCACAGGTGATCAAATACCACCAAAAGAAAGCTCCATTTGTGTGAAGAAAAGGACGTAAATTTTTTGTTTGGGTACAGCATTGCATTGACCGCGCAATTATCATTTGAATTAGTGCAGCGCCAAACAGCAAAAAAAAGGCCTGGTCATTAAGGGGGGTAAATCCTCTGGGGCTCAAGTGGTTAAACATACAAACATTTACATTATTTTAATAATCGTTTATATCTATTAGTTGTTTCAGCCTTAGTAAAGTTTTGCTTTAAATTGCAAAAATTTGCATATACTGCATTTTTTTTTTTTAGGTTTTTTTTTTTCTTTTTTTCACCTGGTGATCCAGACAGTATGTCCATTACTTTCCAACCAAGCTGTCCAGACAAAATACCATTTGAGACAAACCATTTAACACTAACAGGTGTACTTACAATGGTCATCTTTTATTGATTTATGTAAAACCTTTATCCCAGAGGGAATAAAAAGGTTTGCTTTAACCACTTATAAAGCGTTAGCTAGAATTCAGCTTTCATTTTTAAGTCAAGTCCATTTAAATCCGCTAGTCTACCACTACTCTTTCCCCAGACTGACAATGCGTGACAATGAGGTGTTACTGACTGGATCACCACATGAATTAAAGAGATAAAAGCCCCAAAAAAATCAAGCAACCACCACATCTAAGGATTGGTAAGCTGCAATATATTACATTTTTTAATTTTGGATTTAATACCGCTTTAGTGAATCAGCTGACTTCGGGGGGATCAAACCTGGTTCTCTGAGAGGGTTCAAGGACCTCCTTTTAATACCTTGGAGTTACGTCTGAATTGGTGATTCTCAGGATTCTTTCTTGGAGGTGGATATTCTCGCCTGACAATTTTGTCAGTCATGCACCCCTTCTCTCTTGGATATCAGGATCAGTTGAGCTAAGGCTTAGAGTTTTCTTTAGCCGTAGGGTGTTCCCTTGCTTGAATTATACCTCTGTCTGATCCCAGTTCCTAACACAGGTTTACAGCAGGAATTGCACAGGAACATGCTCGTATTCTGTGCGATATGAGTTCAGTGCATTTTCAGCCCATTTATCTCAATAGTCTGAAATCACACTGCACTGCATCAAAAGTAGTGCATGCCCTACTTTAAAAAACGCACTACAGTTGGATTGCTTGTTACTCCTGTACCATGCTATCAGGTACAGGCAAACACACTGTGTTTGTGCCCTGCATTTTTATTGCATTGAAACCCACCGCAGATCGTTAGTGCGTGCATTTTGAACACGGTACAAAAAGCGCGCATGGAATGTGAGTTTCACGCATTGCGTTCGTGTATGAACAGGCCGTTAGAAAAGCTTTCTTCTACGCTATAGTATATGTTTTGGGTTCCCCCATGCTGGGTCTTTCTCACTTGTGAGAGTATTTTTGTCTTCTGGAATCAGCCTTCATTCCTATGTTATTACAATCTTGTCTTGTTCTCTTTCTACCCGGTGGGTGGTTCAGCCTCATCAGGTTCAAGCTTTTGGGTCATAATCCTTTTAGGGCTCGTTCACACCAGCTAGCCTCATTGGTTGCACTGCCGCAGGTATACAATGAGAGATGCAATTTCCTTTTTTTCCACAGAACTTTAATGAAATGTCAAGAGTGACATTTCAAGACAGTTCTATTAACCACAGTAAGATTGCAATGTGGTGGTTCACAATGCAGCCCACTACACTGAAGAAAGTACTGCATACAGTGAACTGACACATCAGATACCAGGAATTTTGCCTTGTCTATGGATTGGGGCTGCTCTGGAAATAGCTGCCAGCATAGCCCCAATGCGTATGGCATGAACAAACCCTTAGACAGGTCTCGAGCCTTGTGCAGTTCCCAGTTTTGTTCACGTTTGGTGTTTTGTGGTTGCTCTCCTCTTACGTGGCCAACTTTTGGATATATCAACATTATATAACTTTCCGCGTCCCTCAATGGATGAGAAAAATTGGATTTTTGTACACCAAAAAAAATTTAGGGACAGAGGTTACACATATCTGTGTTATGATAATGCTTTGGTACTTTTTGCTACAAGCGAAGACATGCTAGGGATATGAGGGGTTTTACCCTGGGCTGGCCTACAGATTTTTGTTGCCAGTGTTTAATTTGCCTGTAGGTGGCAGTTTAACCCAACCGTATATGACTTTTTGTGTCCTTCAATGGACTCCAGGAAAACTATTTTGATAGAAAGTACAAGAATCCGGTTTTAGTACTGTCAGAATGGGCATATGTACACTATCCTTATTACAGTTGACATAGGCTTCTTTCTCTGAGTGGAGCCCAAGTGATATCACCACCACTCGCCAAAGCAAACATTGATATAGCTGTACAATAAGATGCCAAGGCAACAGGGGGCACTGAATGCGTTCATTGGCATTGCTTGATACTCTGCATTTGCACTGTGTGTCATCATTAGCAGCTATCATCCATTAACCACTTCCTGTCCAGCCCATGTATATAAATGGCCGGATGGGGGCAGTGCAGGGGCGGGTTGCCATTCATAAACGGCGCCCGCCATTTTGGAATGTGCGCGCTCCCTGGGAGCGCTCGGCACTGCGACCCGGTGCCCGTTGTGTCCTCCGGACACAACGCAGCACCGTTCGCTTTACGGGACCTCTGTGTGAAGTCCCGATCCTGTGATCACTGATTGACCAATCAATGATCACATAAATAGTAGTAAGCAAGATGTCACTTCTGACATCATTGCTTACTACGTGTGAAATCTGTGAATGATCACAGAGATCACATGGTACAAGGCTATTCACAACAGCCTTGTACCATGTGACAAGCTGTGACAATCACAGTCACACAATTTTTCACATGGCTGCAAGAATGCAGCCAGAGAGAAAGGGAAATGATTGCTTTACAGCCTTTATGGGTGTAAAAGCAATCAGTGTAAAAAAAAAAAATCTTCATCACCCCCCACAAGTAGTCCATACTACTGTACTGCTAGGGTGACGGTATGTTAAAAAAAACATAAATAATAATATAAAAAAATAAAATTTAAATTTAAAAAAAATGTTTTAAAAAATTATAATTTTTGGTTATAAACTAATTTAGGTTATTTTTTTTTTTTTTTACTAAAAAGATAACTGAATAAATGTTAGCCAAGATTTATGAAGAAAGATTATTTATTTGCAAAATTGTATAAGGAAAAAACTTTTTTTCAACATTTTTGGACGTTTTCATTTATATAGCAAAACAAATAAAAATCCCAGCCGTGAATAAATACCACCAAAATAAAGTTTTATCTGTCTCAAAAAAAAATGCTAAAAAATTAATATGGGTACAGTTTTGCATGACCACGCAATTGTCATTCAAAGTGTGACAGCGCTGAAAGCTGAAAATTGGCCTGGACAGGAAGGGGGTGAAAGTGTCCAAACATGAAGTGGTTAAGGAAAAGGTAATTTCCACTGCATTTGAATTGAATTGCCACTCACTTTGTGAAATATGTGGAACTCCCCTTCAAATTTTCCTTCACTGGTGTGGTATACTACCATGGCCTCTTTTTACTAAACCTTTAAAAAATTTTTTCTTTTTGTTTTTAAGAAAAAAGTGAACCCACGCCTTTCAGTAGAAGTGAAGCCAAGCAATCGACCTTGGAAGATACAAGAGGAAAAAATTTGGCGCAGATGGGAGCATAGACAGGCAATGCAGAGATACTTAGAAGAAGAACAAATTTGGTTAATGGAAATGAGGTATATTTATCTGGATGGGGACTGTTGTTTGAATGCAAAATAGCAATGATCATATATGTGTGGTTTGGCACTATTCTAGTGTAAGAACATCAACATTCTGAGCAATTCAAACTGAGCATATGATGAAAATATACAGTGTAAAATGCATGTCAAAGTCCATAGACATCTAAATGTACAGTATACATAGATATTCTCCCTCCCAATCCCGTCTCTATTGACCCATGTGATGAATCGCCAGATTGCCTGGCTGGGAGACTTCGATGGTGGAAAAAGGTTAGGCCAGATTTAGTTTCTACTGAAAAAGTTGAAATTCACTTCCACCATTGGATTCTTATATATTTTGACCAATATATTTTTTTATTACTGGTATTTCTGTAGTGCCATCAATTTATGCTGGCGTTTGAATATATATTGTAAATTCACATCAGCTCCTGCCCTCAAGGAGCTCAAAATCTCAGGTCCCTAACTCACATTCATACTTGCACATACCATGGCCAATTTAGACAGGAGTCACTTGACCTAACAGCATGTCTTTGGAGTGTGGAAGGAAACGGAGTACCTGGAGGAAACCCATGCAAACTCCAGGCAGGTGTAGGGTTATGGTTGCGATTCAGGCAGATGACAGTGGTGCTGCCAGACAGGAGTGCTTAACACTATGCCACTGTGCTGCGTAAGGAATTTTCACTGCAGGTAACTTTATTTATTTATGCATTTTTCATATGTTCAGTTTAAAGTGACACTAAAGGTAACATTTTTTTTTAATTAAAATAATAAAAACTATACTCACCTGCTCTGTGCAATAGCGCTGTTACCATCTCTACTTCAAATTATCTCTGATGCTGCACTTTTTTTCTGTTCATAATTAGTGGTCAGAAAACAATTGTATAACTTTTGACATTGAAGAAGTAAAACCATATTTTTTTTTTTTTGGGGGATACAGCTCCATTCAGTGGATTTATATGACCACCTGCTAGTTGCGCAAAAAAAATCAACCTCATGGGCAGGCATAACCTGGTGACTAAACCTATCCTTTTTTAGAGAAGTTTTTTCATAGCATCCAGGGATGAAGAATGACTTTCACTCTGTTCCAGGTTGTTTCCTGGGTTTTGTATTATTTGTGGTAGAGCACTCAGTGCTGTATGGGTTTTCAAGCATCACAATATCGCCTCAGGTCTTTGAAGCAGTCACCTGATTCTCAGAGCACACTTTTACGAAGTTCTGTATGGTTTATGTGGATGCCAGCTTTGGTTGCAAAGTTTTGCATGCAGCATTAAAGGCTGTTTTGTTACTTTTTCCTGTGACCAGCAAAGTGTTTTGCAAAGAAGCTCTGCTTTTTTTTCTCAAAAATGCTTTGCTAGAAGTTGATTTTCAAATATTATAAAAAAGCCAGAAGATGATTGGATTGGTAGATCCATAGTAATGTGCCGTTTTTCAGTGGTGTTTTATATACATTTTTTAACCTGAATTGTTTTTTCAGTGTTGCTAGTTGTAGGTAGCACTGAGAAATTCCTAGAAATGTTTTCTGTTTAAAATCTTGTAAAAAATGACCTACTGGTCTGAGATCTTTGAGGTGATAAAATCAATTGCAATCTGAGATTAATCATCTTCTCCGGGCCTGGCCCTGTTGGGCATACATGAGGGCGACCAACGCTCTCATCATGCTAAATTGTTAATTTTATTTCTCCTTATTATGCTAAAAAAGAAATTTTGATGACATGGACGTCGTCTGTTCCTCCTGTAGTGCCCTCCTGGGAGGCCATGGTGGTTGCAGCATTACCTATGTATAAAGTTACGTACAATAATTGGGTCTTTCCCTGGAAATACGATAAGCTGTGGACTCCCTCTACCTCGAATTAGAGTGTTTTGTATGCACACTACAGATGTTCCGGGTTTGCATACTGTGGGCAGAATTTGGGGTGTGTTTTCTGACTTCCTTTCTATTTCTTCTTTCTATTTATCCACTGTTCTAGAGTAATGGATTGTTACCTCCAATAGGCTTACTGTCAGGACTTTAGCGGGCGGGGATCGGGGATCTGGAATTAAGGAGATTCCCTACTAATTTTTATAAATCAACTAATAATTTGAAGACAAAATAAAAATCAATAATGTTTAAAAATATATATTTATTTATTAATAATAAAAATTATTAATAAATATATATTTATAATAATAAAAATGAGTACAGATATCATTTGCATACCCTGCAATCCTTCTCTACATTTCAGTTACTCAATCATTAATATCCTCCTTCATGTCCAATTTATCTTTCACAAAAAACAACACTTGAAACTTCATCAATTCTCTAGCCTCTCTCTGGGTCAAAATAGCTTCAGATTCTGCACCAGAATGACTAGATCTACTAGAAACGCTTTTGGGACCAGACATTTTCTGTATATGTAATTGATAGCACTTTCAAAACCAAGAAAATGCCAATAAAATATATATACCTATCCTTCTGTTTGTTTCAAATTTAGGCAAATCTTGCTGGGGCCTCCAAAATATGTCAGAAATTTAGCTCTACGTTAAAAATAAGTATATAGTGTATGAAAACACACGGGGACCTGGAATTAAAGAGATTCCCTACCAATTTTCATATATCAACTGATAATCCAAATTCTTTATTTACGCTAATTTGAAGACGAAATAAAAATCTAATAAAATATATTTATTAATAATCTTAGGAATACCCACTCCTCCAGACTGACATTTACCCAACTAAACATTTCGATATTTGCCTAACTTCATCCAAAAAGCCAGGTCACAACTTGCATTAGGGCTTAGGGTTCTTGAGAGGAGTACTGAGGCAGAGGGTGGTGTGATGTTTTCAGTAAGCTATGTACTGCATAGTGCATAGCTGCCTGCTTTGCTTAGGGTAGCCCAGAGCCCAGTGATTATATCACTTGGTCTTAAATAAAGTATGTAAAACATAACATGTTAATGAAGGGGGAAAGGAGTAAGCAGGGAAGACAAAATAAAACCAAATTAAACTTCAACTTTAAATCATACTGACAGTAGGAGTAGGTTATTAGATTCTCTATTTATTAACAAGTAATTTTTACATTTTATGCTTATATCATACCTAAAATTAATCTGAGCTGCTTTTTTGCCTCACAAGAGACACACTAATCATACCCACCTTTATCCTCGTCTATTTCCATAGCGACCTATCAAAAAATGTGTTCCTTAGTTTTACTGAGACCCAGTAGGTTTGAAAGGGAAGTAATTGTACTAGGCTTTCTTAACCACTTCCAGTCCTTGCCAAATCTGACATACCTCTCCTTTGTAAAACATAATTTCTTTGCTAGAAAACTGCTTATAACCCCCAAATACTATATATCATTTTATGCAGAGGCCCTAGAGAATAAAATGGTGTGTTTTGTAATTTTTTATATCACACAGTGATTGCGCAGCGTTTATTCAAATGCAATTTCAATAACGTTTTATGCACAAAATGACAATATAGTACACAATTTTTGGTAACATATAAAAGATAATGTTACGCCGAGTAAAGAGATACCCAACATGTGATGCTTTAAAATTGCGTACGCTTGTGGAATGGCGCCAAACTACAGTTCTTTAAAATCTCCAGAGGTGATGATTTAAAATCCTTTACAGGTTACAAGTTTCTAATTACATAGGAGGTCTGGTGCTAGAATTATTGCTTTCGCTCTGGTGTTCATGGCGATACCTAAAATGTGTGGTGCAATTGGCATTTACATATGAGTGCAGGAACAACGAGTGCTTTCACCATTGCGCGTGAGCACAGCAGTGGAATGGGGGAAGCTTTTTTTTTTTTTTAATATTATTATTTATATTATTTGAATTCTTTACATTTTTACCCTTTTTTTTTTTTTTTTTTACTTTTTTTTTGCTATCAAAAGGAATGTAAACGTCCCCTGTGAGCAGTGACAGGTCCTCTTTACTGGGAAAGCTTTGCATCAGCTCCTCTGCCCTTGAAAGCTTTGGATCAAACTCAAATCTGGTGGATCCAAAGCTCTCCTAAGCCAGCAATGGCGTGTAAACAGGCTGAAACCAGAAGTGACTAAATTCTAGTTTCTTCCGTTTTTTGACATCACACACTATGTCTCAAGAACAGGATGCCGCCGGGCACGTCCTCTCTGGGCTACCCGATCACACGTAAGAGCCCGGTAAAGGCAGAAGGGGGAGCCCTTCCGCTGCCTGTAAAAGTAATCCAGTGGCTCTTTAGCTACTCAGATTACTTTTATTTTGTGCGGAGTCCCCGGGACTAAAGAAATATCTCAGTAATCGCTGCAGCTGTAGCGATGACCAAGATATCACTCTCTTCGTCCAAGTATGTTCAGTACAGGAAGTGGTTAAAGTAATCGATAGTGCTCTGGGCTTTCTTTCTCATGTGTGAAATGTGTGTGTATTTAAACAACCCTTATAGTTTCCATACACCTCACCCCTCCTGCCCCTTCCCAACTCTGTTGCTGCACAGTGATGTCAGGAGAGCAGGTGGGCAGAAGCAGTTAGGTCTGCTGACCTCTCTGCACATACTATGCATGTGTGGAATAAACAGACCCCACTTTGTTTATTTTTTGTTTTTTTCCTTACAGACATTATGAGGACATGTACTGGAGAGAGTTGGAAGAAGAGTATCTGTTTTGGGAATATCAACAAATGAGACGCATGCAATTAGAATGGCACCATATGGCCCGAGGCAGGCAATCTTACTCGGTGAGTGCAGTGGTCACCTAAAGTAAGCTTATCATGTAAGAAATAAGGGGAGCTATTTCTGGCCAACTGAAAATGCTTGCTGTCTGACTGTTATGCTGACTCTTAGCTACACTACTTTCTACTTTCTTGGTTGAACTGGATGGGCTTTTGTCTTTTTTCAGCCAGATTAACTATGTAAATCAATAACCTAAAAGTTAAGCTAGCCATACATGGATTGAAATTTAGCAGGTTTAGCAGGGACTAGCCGAATTTCATTCCATGCATGGGCACCCAGGTTGTACAGAAGTGTATCTCTTGATCGACTTTTGTACATCCAGTCTGTTGGTTTTTCCTGATTGATCATTGCTGCTGACTGTAGTCGGCAGCACTGATCATTTTATTCTGAGAGTGGGGAAGGCATCCTGCTGTCAGAACATGATAGCACAGCCGGAGGATTCCCCCAGCCACGCATTTGATTGATCTTTTATTTATTTTTTTTTATTGTTGAATCCGCTGGTTAAATTAAAAAATATGATGCATGCATGGGCTGCCTTAGAGAAATGTCAGAAGTCCTTAACTACATGCTTGTTTTGTTAGTGGCTCAGGATATTATCCACATTTGGGTCCCTACATATAATTTCTGTCAGCAGCTTTCAGTATTTTTAAAATGACAGTCTCTTTAAAAAAATTCTAAGGCGCATGGGGAAACTCATGTCCATAATGGGGATGATATTCACACACAGCCCCAAATGATCCACAATGGCTCAAAATTGATATGGTACAGAAATATTTAGACAGAATAAAGGTGAATAAAGCACCTGGCCCAGATGACTTACACCCACATGTCCTAAAAGAAAATGAGCTATTATTTCTAATTTTTAGGGAATCTTTAAAGTGTTACTAAACCCAGGACCGTGCATTCACTATAACTGGTCTCCCACAGTACACAGAACATGGAAATGCAATTATTTTAGTAAATATAACTGCTAAATACCTTTTCTCATCAGCAGTTAGAGCAGTCTTTTGACTTCTATCAGTGTCCAACAGAGCACTCGTTACAGCTTGTAGGAGGAGTTTCCATTCTCCTGTAGGAGGATGCAAGACCCCTGAACCCCTGTCTGGAGAGTGCTGATTGGCTTTGTGCTGATCACATGTAATTATAGACCTGTTCGTTTAACTTCTATAGTTGGGAAGATACTGGAGAGTTTCATAAAAGACCACATAGCTTAGTTCTTGCTGGAAAAAATATTTTAAGCAATAGACAGCATGGATTCATGAAAGACAGAAGTTGTCAAACAAATCTGATTTTTTTAATGAGGACATAAGCTTGGACTAGGACAAAGGAAACTTGGACAAAGGAGTGGCTATGGATGTAGTATACTTGAATTTTGCAAAAGCATTTGGCAGAGTTTCCCACACATGGCTGATGTGTAAGGTAAAGTCTACAGGCTTGGAAAAATCTGTTTATAAATTGATAGAAAACTGGCTAAAAGACTGTATTCAGAGAGTAGTGGTTGATGAGTAATTCATACTCTAAATGGTCTAATGTTATTAGTGGTGTACGCCAAGATTTAGTGTTTGGACCCTTACTTTTTAATATATTTATAAATGATATAGGGTCTGGGATTGAAAATCCCATTTCAGTCTTTGCAGATGACACCAAGCTGTGCAGTGGAATAACGTCCTTACAGGATGTCTTCAACTTACAAGCTGACCTCAATGCACTGTATAATTAGGCAACTATGTGGCAAATGAGGTTTAATGTTGATTAATGTAAGGTTATGCACTTGGGGGCTAAGAATATGCATGCATCATACATACTAGGGGGGTACAACTGGGGGAATCAATGGTGGAGAAGGATCTGGGAGTTCTGGTAGATCACAAGCTTAAAAATGGCATGCTGCTATTTCCAGAACAAGCAAAATCCTTTCTTTTATTAAGAATATAATATAGACTCAAGAGAGAGATATCATATTACCCCTGTACAAATCATTCGTAAAACCTTATCTGGAATATACAGTTCAGTTTTGAGCACCAGTTCATAAAAAGGATATCAGAGAACTGGAGAAAGTACAGAGAAGGTCAACCAAACTAATAAGAGGAATGGAGGAGCTCAGCTATGAGGAAACAATAATTGATGTATTGGAGCAGCGCTACACTAAATAAACTTAAATACCAATCATATAAACCCAATAACAAAATTGAAACACACGTAAAAAGTGACAAATCATACAAATATATATAAGGTGAATAAATATTATCATAAAGTGAAATGATCCTTAAGCCGATCTAGAAGTGAAAAACGTATAAACACAATGATGGAAAATAGCGAAAATGAAACTAGTCCAAATGGACTAACAATGATGTGAAAACAATATATGTATAACGTAAAAGTGAGCCCCTATAATGGGATTAAGATCCTCACAAGAAAACGTACCAACAGGCTTTAAATATGCCAGAATGTTTGGTGAAGAGACAGTGACATCTGTGAATCCCAAAATGTGGGTCAAATTTTCACAAGATAACTGTGCTGTGATGTATCCCAGAATGCGGGACAAAATTACCACAAATTAACAAGTGTTGTGATAATCCCAGAATGCGGGACAAAGATATATAAGTGGCAAGTGATGTGATAAATCAACATTCATATATGTGACAAAAAAATTAAATACAGATTGTGAAATTAAAAAAAAAAAAAGGAATCATAAAACAAGTCCAAAGAAAAACGTTCACAGGTATATAAACACCAAAATATCTGGACTCTTCAAGCTTCTTTAAACGTGCAGGTGATAAAGTGGATAAACATGACAACCAATAGGAAATAATCCATAAACGGCTGAATTGCCCCCCTCACCTCCTTGCAGCGACCCAAAGGGCCAAAACGCTTGTTGAAATTCCAAAAGGACCTTCCACTTTCAGATACCCCTACCAGGATGATATCCGTCCACACTGGTGCTATTCCTTCATAGGCATACAGATAGAAGCAGCAGGTTCCCTCCAGGGATGATAGAATCAGATACAGCCAGCTCCCATTAGGATAAAGATATAAAAGAAATCTCCATAGTGTAAAACCTTTTTAAGTAATAGTTATGAGCACAAAAAGTCAATTGCCCACTCACATTTGAAATAAGACAAACAAGCTGTGAAAAACCTCATGCTATGGGTGTATCTGCATGGGTTACAGGTGTACCAAAATGGCGGCCGCGCCTGCAAATATGTCACCACGTCCTACGCGTTAAACGCTGACACATGGTGGGCTCTGGGTGTTCCGGACCCTCTGATGGGACTCCATGGGGCGTCTCTGCTCCTACCTGTCTGAGGAAAAATTGTCTGAAGTGAATTTATTCTCTCTTTAGAGGAGGAGATTAAGGGGGGATATGATCAACATTTGTAAATACGTAAGTGGTCCATATTGTGAACTTGGTGTAGAGTTATTCACTTTAATGTCATCACAGAGGATGAAGGGGAACTCTTTGTCTGGAGGACAGAGATTTAACCTGCAAATACGGAAAGGCTTCATCACACTAAGAGCTATGAAAATATGGAATAGACTCCCTTGAGCTAGTTCTGCCCAACTCAGTAGATTGTTTAAAAAAAGGCCTGAATTATTTCCTAAATGCACAAAATATAACTGAATAAAATATTTATAGGTAAAATTGATCCTGGGAATATCTGACTGCCTCTTGGGGGATACGAAAGGAACTCTGCAGATCTGTAAGAGCTTATTTACACTTGTGGTTTGGGAGGCAGTAAAAAGAGGCACCTGGACAGGGGTGTACACATGCTGTAATGCTTTGTCCTATGGCCGCAACGGGGGTGATTCCCCCCTGTCATGTTCAACGGGCAGTACCGTTACCGAACACGACCCAAGTTAATGGGTCCGTGCTGCAACCACCCTGCACCTTGGTGTAATGCAAGCATCTACAATGTGGTGGTGTTGCATTTACAGCACCACCACATTGCAACCGCATGTCAAACGCCTCTGAAAAGCGATCCAGCACTGCCGCATGAGTAAACCTAACCATTGAGTGGTTTACAGCTCTGTGTTTACACTCATTCCTTAGACAGTGCTGTCATCTGTACCCTCTGCTGTGTATTAGCTTCTATCTCTGCACTAAGCCTGTCCCTTGCAGGTATGGAGCTAGTTTTAAAAAATGGTGTTCAGTCGTGGTATTCAGTACAGTTTATTAAAATAGCTTTATCTGCACTATCCAGTATAATCTGATCTTGTGCCTGATCAGCCAGAGTCTAGTGACTAACGTGATCATTTAGTAATGGCTGCTTGCTGACACCCAAGTTTTTGCCCGTCATCTGCCTGCTTGGACACATTGCAGCCTTCCTAGATTGGGGCTTGGCTCCAGAGCAAGTTAGGCTGTGGATCTACAGCCATTTATTTGGCCCGATCTGCTTTTTTACATTCAAAAATAATTTTATTGAATAAACTACAAACAAAAGAAATGCAGAAAGCAAGTCCATAGTAATTTTCCAAGCTCATAGTTCTCATTTCCCACAAACACTAGAAAGAGTTCCAACATCGTATGACAACTTAAAAATTAGAAGAATAGCATACTGATTGTGACAGTGAGATGACCCATCTTAGTGTGAGAAGGTTAACTGTTGCCCTAAGTTATCAACCAGGCAGGTTGCAGGATTCTAGGGTGCTTGTGTCATATAGAGTACAGAGAGAATTTTCAGTCTAAAAGTATGGTATAACCCAGTCTGGGTCCTGTAAGCCTGGAGGCTTCGTAAAGAATTGGGAGGGATGAAGTCTATCTTGGGTCCAGCTTTTGTATACAACCAACAAAGTAATTGCAGCACATCCCTTTTTAGTATAGAGGCTGAGTGTGCTTCAGGGCATCTCTTTTAGAGACAAACTGCCGCACAAGCAGCATGTGTATGAACAGAAACTGAAAGTTTGTCTGTTCTGGCTTCAAGGGGAGCTGGCCTCAAGGGGAGCAGTGTTTACACCCTGTTCCAAATTATTATGCAAATGATATCTTTCTCATTTACCTAAATAATTG